TTGAGCTTAAGCTCCATTTCCTGTGCGCTGTGCAACCCCCCCCTTCCCCCCGCCCCGCTGTTGCCTGCGCAGTAACGTGTGGTATCTACAGGGCTGCAACCCTTGTCTCTTTAAAAGCTGTAGCTATCCAACCAGCCTGCCTTGGACTGTATTGCGGGAGGACGGTGCAATATGTAAATGAGTCAACCGAAATCTATGGCAACTGTGGGGTAAGCGGCAAATCTTGACAATTTGTGGGAGCTTTCGGGTGCGATTTGGGCCTGGAAGGTGTTTTCTTGTGTGCCATATGCAAAGGAAGATTGCCTCTGCAATCTAGGGGGGGAATTCCCAGCTGGTAAAGCAGTACTATACCTTTCCTGCCCCTTCCTTATTCCCCTTGAGGTGAGGGGGTGCTGAGTAAGGATGTTAAAAAAAACCATGTACATGTGTAACTGCTGAAATTTTACTGCTGGTGCTTGGGGGAGCCTGCTTAAAAGAGAGGCAGCAGGGGTGGGGGGGAGGCGAGGGGACAGACTGGTACACCCAGGGAACCTTGGTTCTGACAGCACAGTTTGAGGAATGGTTTGGAAATGTTATACCATGGCGGTGGGGAAATGGCAGCCCTGCCATGGAATCTCTGAGAAAATGAATAAGTACAGCAGGAAAACCTTTGACAGCATCTCCCAGCAAGGTGCTATTAATATCTCTGTGTACACATTGGCTGCATCTAGACTGGCATGCTTTGCTGAAATACTTTTAACGGAAAAGTTTTTCCATTAAAAGTATTTTCGCAAAAGCGCATCTAGATTGGCACAAATGCTTTTGTGCAAAAATCTTGCCAGTGTAGACGCACTCTATTGATACTCTGGATGTAACACAGACCCAGGCAAGGCTTAGCCCATTAGGATGTAAGCAACTAACTGAGTAGTTGCTTCCCCTCCCTTGCTGCCTCTTTCTGATAGAGGCAGCAAGGGGGGAGGAGGAGGAGGCGGTGCTGGGGAGAGCTGGTTAAAAGCTGGTTCCCCCCATTTCCAGTTCTGTGGGAGGGGGCAGGGGCACAGCCACAGCGTTCCACCTTTGAAATGTACAAGAGTTCCTGCTGTGGTATTGTACATTTCAAAGTAGAAGTGCTGCATGGATCCTGGGGCCAGTAGGGGACTCAGAGGCCCCTACTGGCCCCAGACTCCATGTAATGGTTCAACCTTTGAAATATACAAGAGCTGGGCAGGTTCTTGGTACATTTCAAAGTGGAAGCACTCTTATTGACTGATGGAAATTCCATTGACTATTTGAGTAGTTGATTAATCTAATTTTAACATCCCCGTTAGCCATCTGACAAAAATACAGTCTCCAGTCACCCTGTGCCACGCCCCCCACCTCTGGCTGGAAGAGTAACTCCCCACATTGCCACCCACCCAACCTCCCCCCTCCCCAGGGCAATACACAGCAACTTGCCATCCCTCTTGTGTCCCTTTCTCCCCCCCCTCCCGGCTGCACCAAAGCAGCTTATCGCCCTGAATGCCTGCTGCCTGCCATCCTCCCTCTCTCCCCCCACAATACATAGCAACCTACCCTGCTTTTCATGCTCCACATCTAGTTGAGAGCCCTCATAAACTTCGGGACTTGAGAACAATTCCTCACTGCCTGGTACATAAGAGTGTCACCGGATTGTTCCCCTTCTCCTTGTCTGCTTCCACCTCTTCATCAGTAACTTCTGCCTGTGTGTTAACTCCTGTTTCTGACTCTGCTGTGAAAAGTGTCCACTGTCTCCTTGGTTGTAAATCAGTTCGTTTGTAAGTTGGACCCCATAGAGTTACACGACCGCGCTGTTCGTAAGCGCGGATCGCGTTCGTAACTCGGGGTCTGCCATTTACGACAGCTTTGGTCGTAACTGCGAACTGTCATAAGTCAACCGTTCGCAACTCAGGGACTGGCTGTACTACATGATTGTTGACAGTAAAGGGAGGGACAGAGACAAAAGTCCCCCCTCACAGAGGTAGAAGTTTTTGTTATCAAAAGTGGAAGTTTTTCACGACTTTTGTTGCATTGCAGTGTTAATGCTCTCTTGGTTTTGTTGCCAAAAAAGGGTTTTTTGGTGACAAAACTTGACAGTTTAGACAAGCCCATAGATGCCAGGGGAAGGACAAGATTTCAAGAGGAGTACAGTTGACTGAGGTGGCTGATAGGTCAAGGAGGATGAAGATGGAGTTCTGGTTCTGAGCTTTAGCAAGGAAGGAGTCATTACAGACTTTGGCAGGAGGAATTTCAGTGACATGCAAGGGGCAGGAGCTGGATTCGAGAGGGTCTAGGTTGGAATTGAAGGAGGGCAAGTGCAGACCATGATAGTAAACTGCATTCAGTCTATGGATGTTAAATTGCATTTAATCAGATTGAGTAGTCAATGGAATTTCCATCAACGACTTGATTAGTTGATAACACAGGTAAACTGCAGAGTCACAGCAGGGTTAGCTCCCCCCGGTGGCTCTGCCATTAAAATATATTAAAAGTTGCCAGGCCTCTTCATACATTAAAAGGAAGAGGCACAACCTGGGGGGGACCCAAGCATGAGCAAGGAATCAGCTGTCCCCGCTTGTGTCCAGTCCTAGATGCTGTGCCGGGCTCTTAATATATTTAAAAAGCAGAGGTGCATCTCAATCCACTTAAAAAGCAGAGGCACAGCATCCGAGACTGGGAGCAAGCCGGGAGACCTGCTACGCCTCTGTCTCCCCTGCCATTCTGCAGAGATGGTGTTGGGGAGGGGGTAACTGGCTTGTAAGCCGGCTCCCCTCAGCACTGGCTCCTGCTTCCCCTCTCCTGTTGCTGCCTCTCTGATAGAGGTAGTAAGGGGGAAGCAACTAGTTGAGTAGTACTCAACTATCTGATACACATATGCTTATCAGGTAGTCGATTAGTTGCTTACATCCCTAATTCAGTCAGTTTAGAGATGAAAGGGAGCTTAAGCAGCACTTAGTGAGACAAGTGGGGTTAAAAGTGGGTGGGATTTTATAGGATGTGTGAGACTAAAGCATGTTTACTTTGTGAGGGAACAAGCCTTGTGAAAGCACAAAGAAGGGATGAGTGTGATGAGTTTGCTCAACATTGAGGCAAGCGGAGGAACGAGGGATTGAACTTTCTTTAATATGGTAAATTTGTCAGCACGAGCACTCTCTTTAACTGGGCTTCAAACAAACCAAAACTATCAATTATTTGGTTTTCAGGCATTTGTAAATACAGTTTTGTGTTGCTGTTTTGTAGGTGTGCCCTAGAGGACAGCGAACGGATGATCATAAAATCTGTCGGGAGTGTACTGGATCTCCAGGACATTATGACTGGCTGTACCTTGGCTTTATGGCCATGCTTCCTCTGATTTTGCACTGGTTCTTCATTGAATGGTATTCAGGGAAAAAGAGGTTAGTAATCATTATGTAATTAAACAAAAAGGCCCATTATAAATGTGTAATTCACGAGAGAAGATAAATGGAGGTGTGCTAGAGGAGTCGTACTATAGAGCAGGCAGATACACAGGCTGCTAATTTTCTGGGCACACTATGTACTTATGGATTTATTCAATTTTCATCTTATAGCTGCAATAATTATTGGAGCACAGCTCCTCCCAGGTGGTCACAGTGCCCAGGAAATGTCCTGTACTCCTTTCCTTGTCTACGTGTTCATTGGTGTCCGATGGAATGCTCATGTATGTCATGTTTTGGCCTAGAGCAGTAGTTCTGAAATCCCAGAATCTACAAAAAATGTAAATCCAAATGGGGATTCCCAAGCCTTATGTATTTGATGTTAGTTTTTGCTAGACTAAGTGCTATGTGAATGTTAGTTTCAGCAGTTCAGATGAAATGCAACTGCACTTGTGCGCTACATAGTGTGTCAGATAAAAAAGAGAAGACTACTTGTCATGCTTACTTTAAACTTAATTTTGTAGTAACTGGCTTTGTTTCTTTCCTAGTGAATTTAAACACAATAGACAGTTTAAAGACTTTCAGTTCTATATTTTACATTGACAACGGGGAGAAAAATGCTATCAAGTGGTATTAAATAACCTTTTTTCCCCCCTCTTGCTACAGTTCCAGTGCATTGTTTCAGCATCTTACTGCCTTATTTGAATGCAGCATAGCAGCAATTGTTACCCTACTTGTGAGTGATCCAGTAGGTTTTCTGTATATCCGTTCCTGCAAGGTAGTGATGCTTTCTGACTGGTATACAATGCTTTACAATCCAAGTCCTGATTACATAACTACTATACACTGTACTCATGAAGCTGTCTATCCTCTGTGAGTATAAAGACTGTTCGAGAATAAATTTTTGTTTGCTATTTTACCATATGTATATTTATTTCAGGAATTTATAAAATGTTGGGTTAGGGAACACTTAACCCTGAAATGTGGCCTTACTCTGCTAAGTTGGTCATTTCTGTAAGAAGGGAAATCTGCTGTTTGCCAAAATGCACTTAATGTGGTCTGGATTCAGCAAAGCATCCCTTCCAGAGAAGCATTTTAAGCACATACTTATACTATAAATGTGAGCTCAAGTGGGGGATGTTTGTATGTTACTTAAAAATGAAGAGCTGCTAGTGCTGCTTAATTTTTTTTGGACACTTGTGTGAGAAATGGAAAGTCTTAGTAGTTGTCTAGACTTCAGTTTTTGTGAGGTTTTTTGTCTATAACCACAGCTTGTAGTAATTATGGATGAACAGTATTTTGCCAGGCATTAGTAGAAATACAAACTTTAGCATTTAAAGTGTGTAGCAAGTTTGTGTACTCTTCAAACCGAGGTAGATATAAAAGCTTTATACCGCGCGCTGTTCTAGGAGATGAAGCAAAAAGCAGGACTATGTAGCACTTTAAAGACTAACAAGATGGTTTATTAGATGATGAGCTTTTGTGGGCCAGACCCACTTCCTCAGATCAAAAGTGGGTCTGGCCCACGAAAGCTCATCATCTAATAAACCATCTTGTTAGTCTTTAAAGTGCTACATAGTCCTGCATTTTGCTTCAGCTACACCAGACTAACACGGCTACATTTCTATTACTGTTCTAGGAGATGTGAGGATAGACCAAGCAGGGTGGCTTAAACTAACCTTAGTCTGAGGCTGTCTGTACTTACCCAGAAGTTCATATTAGATACACAACTCCAGCTATGTTAATTGCGTAGCTAGAATCAACATACTTTAATCTGATTTTTCATGCTGGCTTCACAGTGAATGCTCCTGTTGATTTCCCTTATTCCTTGCAAATAGAGGAGTGCCTGTCAATGGGGGTGCCCTCCTAAATTGATTTAGTGGGTTGACCATCAGAAGATTGACTGCCACAGCACTGATCTTCTCGCTGGTATAGATGTGGCCTAAAATATAACCACATGCTATATTGGTTTAAAGAAAAAAATCAGAACATTCATAATACCTCACAAACGCTAAGTACGATGCATTACATTTCCTTTCTTCTACTAATGATGTTGATTTTCACAATTGTTTAAGTGAGTGAGACTTCTTTAGAAATTCCTCTTTGAAGGTGCAGAATGTTGAAAGGCTCATTTAATACAGAATAGTGGTTCTATCAAAATCCCTTTGAAGTCTTGTGGTTCACTGAATTTTCTTTTTTGTGGTGCGTCCTTCAGGCATCAGTATAGTCAATAAAAATAAATCACCAAGCCAACCATCTGTCTTCAGCTTTATTGGTAGCAAGTTTGCACAATGCTGCATGTTGGCTATTTCAAGGAAATTCTGCAAATGTCCAGGTAGTTTTCCAAAGTAATAGTAATTATTGTAGTCTTATGATGGAGTGTACCAACCTGTACCTTTTAACGTCTCCTTAAATGGGTGTCACAATGAACAGTCACATGAGGAAGCCTTGTTACATGAGGTTTTAGAAATACTGAGACTCTGTAACAGTGAATTTCAATACAGATCCATTACACTTCAGGATACAGAATTAAGAAACACCTGTAGACCTGGGCAGCCTTTCAGAACTAACCTGTATGTTGCTTTTACTGCCTTTGGAAGGCAGGGTCACCTGGAGAAGAGGGCAGGACACCTGAAGTTTGTATGCACCTCAGTCATATCTTGCCGTAGGTCACACCACAAGTCAGCTCTCTTCTCTATGCCTCCATTTTCTCCTCCCATCCTCTCTAGACTATGTTTTTCAGGGCACAGACTGTAGGTATGTGTGTTCTCAGTGCCTAGCACAAAGCATCCTAGGTCAGTTAGAGCCTGTAGTTGCTACTGTAATGCAAATAGTATTAATTTTTCTTTTACAGGTACACCATTGTATTTATATACTATGCCTTCTGTCTGGTGTTAATGATGCTACTTCGACTGCTTCTGGTTAAGAAGATTGCCTGTGGGTTAGGAAAATCAGATCGATTTAAAAGTATTTATGCAGCACTTTACTTCTTCCCTATTCTGACAGTAATTCAAGCAGTTGGAGGAGGCTTGCTCTGTAAGTTTTTTGTTTTTTGTTTTTTTTGTTTTTTTATGTACAACATTAACAAAAACAACACTTTGCTCAGTGGTCAAAGTACGTCCTTTTTACTTTACTGTGGGTAATGTTATTGCCTTAAATATATAAAGAAACATTCATCAATGACCCTTATTGTTCAAATATCCATACCCAGTGCTATTTTCAGATAGATTATTCCTTGGCCCCTCCATCTCTTGGGATAACATTGACAAATTTTATGGTGCTAATGGTCTAAATCAAACGTAGTTTTCTTAGCCAATTAACTCAGTGTTGCCTTAGCAGAGGGTGGCAGGGTTTTTGTGCAAAATATTCAACGTACTGTCTGTCAAGCTAAGGCATTTGTTGCCAAGGATGGGGCAAAGGGCAAAACTAACTAGCCTTAAAAAAGAATTAGATAAGTTCAGGGAGGATAAGTCCATCATTTGGTCTGAACCAACATGGTAAGGGATGCAACCCCATGCTCTTAGGTGTCTACTAACCTCTGACTGCCAGAATTGCTAGGACTAAACAACACAGGATGGATCATTTAATAAAATGCCCTATTCTGTTCATTCCCTTAAAAGCCTCTGGCATTGTTGGAAGACAAGATACTGGTCTAGATGGACAATTGGTTCTGACCCAGTATAGCCGTTCTTATGTAGAAATATGATCCTTTGGGTCTCTAAAGAGAGATTTTTGAAACTTCTAGAACAGTGACATATTTGTCCGAGAGCTCATGACACCATCTATTTGTTTTGTTAGTATCTAAGGTGCTACAAGACTATTAGTTGTTTAGGTTTTTCCAGTTAGATGAACTCGGCTCCCCTTCTGAAACTCAATTGGAGTGATTCCAGAGCCAAATTATAAATATTTTCCAAAAGTGTCACAGTTGTGGCTGATGGGAACTATTTAATTTTTAAATATAAACTATTCTCACAACAAATAACATTGTAAGAACATGCTGATTGGTTACTAGTTAAATCACTGTATTTTAATATCATGTGCTGCAAAGAGACACATTCAAGAGTCAATCTGAGTAGCACTGCTTCAGAAGATCAAAAAGTAAACTACCATGCTTGTCTGTCACTTATTTGTAGTGTAATACATGTTTGTTAATTTCAAATGTGGGCTCAAATAGGCTGTAGTTATGTCTTTCACTGAAATGTACTTCATGTGGTGGTGGTTTCTCCCTTCTCCTAATACATGCAATGTTTTCCTCCTAGATTATGCTTTCCCATATATCATATTGGTATTATCTTTGGTTACCCTGGCTGTGTACATGTCTGCTTCTGAAGTAGAGGTAAGTAGAAATGTTTGTTCTATTATAGGTGTTAAAACTTAATTTTACCAGCAGAGCCTTGAGATGAGGAACACTGTTTAATGCATGACCAGAGATCTCTGGCATATACTATGATCCCTTCTGGAATACTGACTTGAATGGAGAGAGTGGCTTACCTTTCCTCATGTATTTGCCTGTACTTTTACCTTCCTCGGTGCTTATGCTAGGAATAAGCCTTTTTCATTTTTGGCACATGAGTCTAGCCCAAGGAAACGAGTGTGAATGGGTAGTCCTTCATGCAACACCCTTTCCCAAGGGGGACTAGGGAGAGATCACATTGTGACTAGAATCAAATAGTAATTCTCAAGACTAGTTGACTTCATATACAATGCCTCTCCCTGAATTGCACACAACCTCTCGCTTAAGTATCCTATACAATGTAGGTGTGAAAATATTAATATTTTTTTATTTTACAAGTCTCCCAAGGATCTTCTTGTCAGGAAGAAAAGGCTTGTTGTTCTCTTTAGCCACTGGTTACTTCACGCCTATGGAATCATCTCTATTTCCAAACTGGAGAGACTTGGCCAGGATTTACCACTGTTGGCTCTGGTACCTGCACCTGCCCTCTTTTACTTAATGACTGCAAAGTTCACTGAACCGTCACGCATCCTTTCAGAAGGAGCAAATGGACATTAAATGCAACATGTGCCAACACCTCCATGAAAATGTCCCAGTAACATGGATTAAAGAATTTCATTGACACGTTTTTCAGCTCTCCGACTAAAGCTTGTCACTTCAGTACAAGTTATTTCCAGGTAAAACACCATACAGAATCTAAGAGTAAGACTATGTAATCTTAGAAAGAGCTGTACTTTAATTTCATGAAGGGCTTGTAAAAAATCGAAGTGGATAATGTCTTGATCTGTATGTTTTTTACTGTATGTATATAAGTGCTCATCGGCCATACCTTGTCACAAGTTTTGTTTTGTACCTTATTTATTTCACAACACAGTATTAGAATCTCCTTGAATAAAGTAGCAAAATAAAGATGTGGCTTTCTGGTGCAGTGCCTGGCTTCTGTCACCCCCTTACTTGCAATTACCATCTCCCTGAAAATAAGAGGTTTGTGGAGAAGACTCAGTACATAAATATATCTGCAATTTCAGACACTAGCATTTTATTCTTATTTACACTTCCTCCCTTCACCTGCTAAAGCCTTCTGCAGACCAATACAATTTTAGATCTTAAAGCACCCGAGAGGAAATGAAGCACATGAAGGGTTAAAGCAGGACTGTTCATTTCCTACTGCATCCTTCAGTCTGATTTGAGATGTTCTGACTGTCAATCTGCCAGGCGGAGACTAGTGAAGAGTACTATCCCTTCTGCTGAGGCAGTGTCCCTAATACACTGCCTGCAACACTTCGTTACTGGACTTGCTCTCTCTTCTAGCCAAGGACTGTGGTTAATAAACTGACTGTAGTAAATCATGTGATGCAAATGTTAATCACCAAGCACTGAGGGAGGGAGACTGCTACCTGCCTTTCACACATCTTTGGAACTGGTGGATTTTGGTGCAATTAAACAATTGTCTGTTTCATCATTGGGTGCTCCATGTCCATTTGTTGGTTTTGTTTGACATCCATTCAATCCCACTGATAATCTTAAGACAACACTAGGGTGGTAAAAGGTGAGAAATGTGCTGGGCAATACCTAAGCAGCCACTGATTTGGAGCAGTTAGATTGTGGGTAGTGATAGAAAGCTTGATGATAGTGTAAGTCTCCTTCCCCACAAAAGGCAGTGAGAAAAATGGGGTTGCTGTTACTAAGAAGCAGTTCTTGGCTTATCAAGTGAATGTGATGTGCTCATTGCTTCTCTAATGCTCTCCAGCTGTGTCTACACTGGCAGGATCTCACACACACAAGCGGCTGCTCTTGTGCAAAAACTTGCTACCTGTCTACACTGGCTGTGTGTTCTTGTGCAAATAAACTTGTGCAAATAAACTAGACAGGCAACATGAATTTCTTGTGCAAGAAAGCCCTATGGTTAAAATGGCCATCAGAGCTTTCTTGCACAAGAGAGCATCTACACTGGCATGGATGATATTGTGCAAAAGCACATGCCAGTATAGATGCTCTCTTCTGGAAGAGGTTTTTGCAGAACTCTTCCGCAAAACAGTTTTTGTGTGAGAACACGCCAGTGTAGATATAGCCTCCTAGTATTACTTGTACAAGGAACACCACAATCTACATGCTAGAAATGAGATGTACTCAAGAGGTATGCCTCTCCTAGGGATCATTAATCCACAGAAGGAAGGTACACGGTAACCAATATAACCTTTAATGGCTTCAGATCTAAAAATAGAAGCAGCCATTTTTTAAGGATATTTTGACCAGTTAGCTCTTTTGGGACAAGATGATCAGTGACTTGGTTTTAACTTTTGAGCATGGGGAAGTAATTATGAAGAAGGCAGAAAGGGTAAAAATGTACCCAACATGGTTATATCCTAGTTTAACAGCATGTTTAATGAAGAGTAGTATGTGGTTTGTTCTATCACCCCATTAGGCTCTAGGAACAGGGCAGCAGCATGAGAGCTTACCTCACAGAGCAAAGTTTATGCAGGTCTAATTTCAGGGGGCAAACACTGGCACATGCACTTAACACATGGTATTTGCTTAGGGCTGAACACCAACTTACCTGCCACCAGATGTCACTGTTCCTTGTTCAGATGCAAACTATGTAGTATTCTCTCACTATAAAATTTATGATTTTTGCACTGATAACTTTACTGTCTAACTAGAAAATTAGATCCATTATTTCAAACAGGAAGTCTACAATGTTACATATGAAAATGCATTTGGATATGAAAATAATTATTTGCTCATGATCAGGCACATGTACCTGTTTGCCTACAAGCATTTCCATTGTTATGTAACCAAATCCATAAGGAATTTCTGAAAACATGGCACTCAGTCAGGTGCATTAAAATGCCTACTCCCATGGCTAGTATTTTAATGGACTTAAAAAAAAAGTGTTCTGTGCCCAGTCTTGTACTGGTGCTTTCAGACTCAATTACTGGGCTTGCACATGCTATTTGGGTGACTGGGTTTCTGAACCAACTCTATGCAGAACTAGTCAACTGCAATATACATTTGCATGCACAGCTATGGGAATGGCAGCAGGGCAACTGCATATACATTTCATACATGGACAGGTTTAAAAGTTTGACCCTAAGCTGTCTCAGAAATGTGAAAACAAAACCAACGTAGCACGGTGATAAGCATGTCATTGGATAAGACTGGGGAATCTTTAATAGAAATTTGAGGATTAATATAGGTTAATAGACTGTTAAGAGCAGCTTATACTACAGGGCTGCGTCTAGATGGGCATGATTTTTCACAAATAATTTTAATAGAAAAGTTTTTCTGTTAAAAGTATTTGCGCAAGAGAGCATCTATACTGGCATGTGCCAAAAACTTGCGGCCTGTCTACATTGGCCGTTCTAATGTAAGAAATTACGTTCTAATGTAAGAAATCAGTGCTTCTTGCACAAATGCTTTGCCGCTCCCGCTCAGGGATGAACCCTCTTGTGTAAGAATACTTGTGCAAAAACAGACTTAAGATCTTTCCTGAGCTCCTACTTCCCAGAATCCAAATTAAAGTTTTTCCCTCTGGTTACTTAGTTTCTCTTTTGGGGTTTTAACTGCTGCCCTCTGCACTACAGTAAACTTCTTTCCCCAGGCTTTTTCTCACTAAAGGCATGTTTTGTCTGGAAAAGTTCATGGGGTCTTATCTATTCTAAGTTGCTCGTGATCCCTCGGGGGGGTCGGGACCCACAATTTGAGAAATGCGGCTATACTAGGTAAATGTAATCTTGGGATCATATCTGGATACTTACCTTTTCCTTTTTTACTCCAATATTCTATCCTTCAGAAACATCTGGAATTTAAATATAAAATACATATTTTAGTAAGCTTTTCTATGTGTCTGCTTTCATTTGCACAAAAAAGTTAATTGTAGATACTCAATTTAAGATTGCTGGAATTAAAGAGACCCATTTTTGCCTGACTCTTGCAGTCCTTTTATGCAGTGACGTTCTATTGGCCTCTGTGAATGTTCCATACAGGAAACAATGACAGTGTTAGCCTTCAAGTTGAAGCAGAAATTTTCTTTATCTATTTAACCCTTCCCCTTTTCCAGTTTGCTGTCCAAGTACCCACATCCCAATAATAACCTTGCAGCTTAAAAATCCTGTAATCAAAAGCTAAATGTACTTCTGCTACAAGGTTCTAGCCACACACACATGCACATACCACAAAAGTTGCAAGAAACAGAACTTAGGACTTTTAGTATCAAAAACACAAACTTGTATCATTGCAGCTAAAAATGAGCAGGTAGGAAACAAGGTTGGGGAAAGGGGGAGAAAGGAAATGGCCATAAGGAGGAAACATGCTCACACTCAGCCCCAGAATATTAATATTTATGTAACATTTAAACAATAGAAGTTGCCCATACAAAAAAATTCTGGTCACTTGAATGATCAATTAAATTTACCATTCCATAGTACTAACCATACAGTGGCAGACCAGGCAGCAGCTCTGGACAGTGTCCAGAATAACATGTCCAGAATAACAAAGCTAAAGTGTGGTTTTGAAAAGAACAGGGATGCTCTAAATATTTTCCACAGCTTCCTCACTGAGTGGT